TTTTTGGTTTTTCTCTGGTACCAGGAACCGAACTCATGACCTTGCGCTTGCCAGGCAGGTGCTTTGCCGCTGAGCTAAATCCCCAGCCCCTCAATTTTTTAATTAATAAAATTCGGTGTCAATTTTCATACTCTGGTTTGTGAGGATAGGATGCATTCTAACACCAATCAGCTGGTGCCCTCGAGTCCCATTTTCAAAAGCCAAGCCTGACAAAATATTTCTAAATAATCATAAATACAAAAAACAGTTTCAGACACAAAGAAATTTAACACAGCTGTGATAACAAGAATTAGGGACAATTAATGTGTCTGAGATAGGCTTAAAAATTATGGCATATCTAATTAGTAGAAATAAGCATTTGAACACTGAAATACTAGCACTGATTAAATATAAGAAAATCTATAGCTATCCACTGCTTTAACTTTATCATGGGCAAAATGGAGAGCTAGAAATAAAAGAAGCAGAGAGAGAAAGGACAAAACAAAGGAGAAGGAACCAAAGAAAAGATCTAAAGGAGAGGAGACAGAAAGATCAGGTAATAATAGGAAATCAAATTAATTCTAGAGGATGTTCATACTACATGAATTTCATTTATACAGATGTGAAAAACTGTTATGTAAATGTGGTATAGCTGTAAATATAAATGTATTTTAAAATGAAAGAATCTGTTCTGTTCAAATCTTTTTATACTTTACAGTGCAGTGATGTAGGATAAATACTAACCATCGTTGAAATGTCATAGGAGCATGTTTTTCATACCTCCCACTAAAATGCCACAAGAACATTACCATGCAGCATTCCAGCGAACGGCAGAAAAGAAACTCCACAGAGCCCTACCCAGCTTTTACACAGAGACAAACATTCTTTTAGTTCATTAGCAAATGCGTGCAGAGGCAAAAGAAACCCCTGTGGATAATAAAAATAAGCTTTGCTACCATGGGCCACTTTTCCAAACAGAGAAAAGGATCATAATGAAAAAGATCAGAAAAAAACTCAAAAGGGTACAACATAGTGAATGATTGTCTCGGTGTTATGTGTAATCTATCCATTCCTCAAACTAAGTGTAACTGAACTGAAACTTTATTTCAAAACCAGTCTTCTGCAAGGCTTAAGCTGCCAGATCTCAAGCTTTGGACCTAGAAACAGCCAAAAAAAAAAAAAAAAAGAAAGAAGCAGAAAAAA